ATATGTCTAAGAAATAGGCATATAGAAATAGACAAATAGAAGTATAGACAGAATGCCCCTTAGAAGTGAGGATGGCAAGACTTCATCTTATGTACTTTGGTCATGTTTTCAGGAGACACTAGTCCCTGGAGAAGGACATAATGCTTTGTAGAGGGTCAGTGAAAAAGAGAAAGACCCTCACTGAGGTGGATTGACACTGTGGCTGTAACAATGGGCTCAAACATAACAATTGTGAGGATGGCAGAGGACTGAACAGTATTTCATTCTCTTGTATATAGGGTTATTATGAGTCAGAACTGACTTGATAGGAGCTAACAACAACTTTGAATCATTCAGTGAGAAAGTATCTCACTTTATAATACCCAGGAACTCTGGTGGCATAGTGCCTGGGCACTTGACTGCTAACCAGAAGGTTGGCGGTTCAAACCCACCAGCCACTCCTCAAAAGGAAGGTTGGGCAATCTACTTCCATAGTGATACCGCCTTGGAAACCCAAGGAGGGGTCGCTAAGAGTCAGATCCAACTCTACGGCAGTGAATCTAGAGCCTGGTTATAATACCCTGGCATCCATGAGAGACTGAGTAGAAAGAGGCAAGCTGTGTTTTCTAGAACAATTTTTTTAAATCACTTACTAAAGGTCTCTAGATGGCACAAATGGTTTGTACTTGACTGCTTATCTAAAGATTGGTGGTTTGAACCCACCCAGTGGTACTGCCAAAGAAAAGGTGTGATGTTCTGTTTCCGTTAAGGTTGCAGCCAGGAGAACCTTGTGGAGCACAGTTCTACTCTGTAATACATGGGGGCACCATGAGTTGGAAGCTGACTGGATGGCAATTAACAATAACAGCACTCCATACACCACACTCAGGTCCTAGAGATAAGCCGTCCTTGAGAAAAGAGTGCACACTCCAGTGGGACAGCAGACACATTTGCCCAAGGGGAGTTCAAGGCCAAGTGTGAAAGAATGGAATTTGGAGCCAGGAGGCACAGGGCCCAGATGCAGCGAATGTGCTGGGGGTCAAGCAGTGCAGTGAGGACTCAGCCAGCACTAGCTAGCCAGGGAGGTGAAGGACCCAAGGTCCCTGCCCAAACTATCTGGGCCACCCTTCCATCTGGGAATTATTATCTGTTGAAAAGGCAGAAAGTACTTGTCCCTTTTTATTTTTGTTACTGTAGTTTTTTTTTTTTTTTCTTTGTTTTGTTTTGTTTCTCCCCCTCTTCCTTGCTGCTGTTATTCCTAGTTTTCCCAAGAGGCCCAACTAAACAGTCCCTCACGTCCTGGGTTTTCGATGAGAAGAACACAAAGATGATCTCAAGCAGATGCCTGTCTGCTGTCCTACCTGGACTGACAGTGAAGGGATGGGGCTGTACAAATGAGCAGAGCCTTTGGGAAATAGGCAGGGGACCCAGAGCGCATCACACACATGCTCACGCGCACACACACACTGACTGGGAAGGGAGGGAGGACTTGGTCTGACCTCAGAATAATGACTATGTGTGGAGAGGAGGGCTGCTGGGCTCCAGGCAGGAAGCTCCCAGCCACAGGTACATTCCTGTGCCCCAGGAATTGAAGAAGGGGAGCTACCTCAAGTTGACCTGATTAGGGGTAGAGATAGTCCCTGATTCTCATGGGTCGGGCTCAGCCTCCTAGAGTGCGGTGACATTTTAGGAGGGCAAGGGACTCCATGATGAGTGAGGTGGGTTTTGTTGAAGGGAAGGGGATTAAGAATCAGAGTTACGTTTATAAAAGGAATATACACTACTGGACAGCCAGTCATACCCATTTTATCTGTTTGAGTTGGTGACTACTCCTCCAAACTGCCCTGCTAATTGTATGTATTCTTTAGAGTATTGACTTTAGGAAAGCCTCAAAAAAAATTTCAGTACCAGAAATACCAATACCCCATCCTGCACCCCCAGCTGGCCCACCCATGCCCCACTAGCCAAAGTCCAATGGATCTGAAATGCTCCTATACAAAGGATGACTTCCATCAGCTTCAGAAGCACTATGGTAGTTATGTTTGTGTCAGCTTGGCTGGGCCTGGTTGACTGGCTGGGCAGCTGGTGGCAGTTATTCCCCATGAAGAGACTGGTAATCACCTCCAGGGTGGGATCTACCACAAGCAGCTGAGTATCTGCTTTGGATGTGTTGTCTGCTTCCTGTATATAAGCAGCAGCTTTGGGAATGGTCTCTAGCCTATGTATGGCATGCTTGGACCCTGCATGTAGCTGTGTCGTTGTTCAGCAGCCTGCCATGCTCTGCCAACCTTGCGACTTACAATGGACTTAAATTAATGGCCTGCCATGTGGTTTGGTAACATTGGGATTCTGCCTTTTGACTTGTCAACCTTGGGGCTTCTCAGCCTCAGCAGCCAGTGGCTGTCTGAATGACGAAATGCCTCTGGCTCCAGTGGGCTGGGAGCAGGAGGCAGAGCTGGACCCCATGGTTGAGGGGCTTTCACCCAACCCCTAGAGCCTGGCATTTTGAACTTGGACTTAAAGCCTCCAAACTGTAAGAGAATAAACTCTTGTTTGTTTAAGCCATCCCATTTGTGGCATATTCCTGTCAGAGCGGCACTAGGTAACCAGAACAGGCACCTTTCTGGATGTGCTGTGCATTAGAGGGAGGCCACTTCCCTCATGCAAACAGATGCTAAAGATATACTCTAAGTGGGCAAGAAGTCAATGCTGCTTGACCACATGGGCTTGTGGTCAGAGGTCTTTAGAACTAAATCTTCCAGGACTCGGATGCATGCTGTTCATGACTGGGTCACCGCCATGGACCAAGGCTGCACTGGACAGGAGTCTAATACCCACTATGTTAAGATCTTTATTTCCCATTTTCAATTTGTTGTTGTTATTATGTGCTGTCGAGTGGGACCTGACTCATAGCAACCCCTCCTTGGGTTTCCAAGACAGTATCACTACGGAAGTAGATTGCCCAACCTTCTTTCTGAGGAGTGGCTGGTGGGTTTGAACCACCAGCCTTCTGGTTAGCAGTCAAATGCCTTAGGCAGTATGCCAAATTCAGAGATTCTAGTAAACATCCCAAAATAGCCAGCTGGTGAGTGGCAAGGCTAGAATTCAAAACCAGCTCCATTCCTTTCCTGCACCACTCTGCCTCTTTCACCTGGGACTGCCAGCTGAGATGAATGAAGGGTAAAGAAGGATTGATGACAAATAACTTGATTAGGGTATATAAGCGTCAGGACTGCTGGTGTATGAGAGTTAGTGGGTGACATGGTGCCTCACCAAACTTGTGTGGTACTCATCTTGTAACATGTTTGTGTCAGTCATAAGATAACCTGGCTCTCATGCCCCTTGGGACCCCAGGGCTGAACACAGGACTTCGAAAGCTCTCTACGTATGTCTGCGGAAGGAACAGCTTCAGGGACAGTAAAGCTTTTCTAAATATAGCAGAACTTGCAGAGAGTGGAGAGTCAAGCCGGAAAGGTGGTTCAGTTTAAACTATTTAGGGTCATGAATGCCTCTGCCTTATTTCCTACAGCATGAGAGTGGCTGCAGCTCTAAAAGCATTCATGAGCCAAAGCATCTTGGTGGTCAACTTGTTACAAAGCTCGCAGTAGTGTGAGAACTCCCCAGCTCTGCTGCCCTGTGTATGCCCAGACCTCTACAGTTACTCCTGGGAACAAGGATAAAATTGAGGGTGACACTGGCCTCCAGTTAGGCTAGGAGAGCAGCCCCACACTCAGGACATGTGCCTACTTGCTCCTTCCTCTTTAACAACTTTGAATTTGACACCCAGCTGAGTGATGTCTATCACAGCAACAGACAAAGGTATGAGAACAGGAAAGGAATGGAAAGGACACCAGATTTGGACACAGCATCCCTGCCCCACTGCCTGCTTTAAACCTCCAGTGATACACCATTCATCACCTCTTAGATAAACTGAGTTCATAGGGTAGCCCTCAGGGACTACTTGGCTGGGTCCTTGTTGGCCTCTACAGTCTCCTCTTGGACCTCCCCCTGCCTTCCTTCACTCCAGCCAGTCCTGGTGCTTCAGCCTCCCCAGGCTTCCTCTCCCTGCAGGCCTCCACAGACCCAGTTCTCCTCCCTGGGATGCCCTCTCCCCAACTCTGACCTCCTTCTTCTGGCTAACCTGCTTGAGCAGGAAGACATGGCCAGGGCTGGATTACGCAGCAGGCAGACCAAGCTGTGTGCATACTTGCAGGACAGGAAAGCAAGGCACGTGTGTATACCACACACATGCACCAAACACACACACATATCACATACAAACACAGCTTCACAGTAAACATCTTTGTTGACCTTCCTCTTGTTAATTTCGTTTTAGTGTATTTTTCTAGAAATTCCATATGGGGCACATCATAATTTTTCAGCCCTTGGGGACTCTGAAGGTCTTGGTCTAGCTTTCTCCCATCCTTCAGACAGGGTTAGGGATGTTTCTCTGCACCCCAGCTCCCAGCTCACTCCCCTCAGCCTGCAAGTTCCTTCTTCCCCCAAAAGTGTGTGGCCTGGAGGGCAGGGCTTGCGCTACAGTCACCCAGGAGGCCCCTACTAAACTACAAAGAGATGACAATTAGGGTCCAGCTCTACAGAACTTTCCTATGGGATCTACCCCACTCTGAGCCTCACCTGGCCTCAACTGTGGAGTACCCACCCTGTCCTGACCACCTGCCAGGGCAAGTGGTGATCACAGCGGTGCCTGCATTTGCTTGGCCCAGGTCTGCGGGCCTTATCTCCTCACTGGAAAGCAAGCAGTCCTAGGGGGCTCTTTGGAAACGTACCCTACACCTTTGACACGCTGGCAGGATGAGGGCGGAAACCTTAAGGTCCTCAGACCACACAGAACCCAGATGGACCTGAGGTCCCACCCCCTGCCCTGCCCAGCCCCGCCCTCCCGGCTGCCCCACTGCTGCCCTGGGTGCCCCGCCCGGTTCGTTCCCACCTACCTCCAACCCCGACAGTCGACTGTCTTTAGCTAGCCTGGCTGGGACAGGTGTCCCAGGCGGGACAAGATGCAGCCGCGGCTCTGGCTCCTCCTTGTGGCGCAGCTCTCAGGTAAGAGGGGGAGGAGACCGCGGGACGCGTGGGGCAGGGACAGGGTGGTGGGCGTTGGACCCTGGGAGAGCCCGAGTTAAGTTTAGACATGGCTGTGCGGGCAGGAACGAAAGCCCGGGGCTGTGGAGGAATCGGGAGGGTGGTGGTGGGGCATGCACCCTTTCTGAGGGTGGAAAGAAAACCCCTTATCCCATTACCCCAGGGGTCCAGGAAGCTCCAAGGCTGAAGACACCTCTACCCAAAAACCTGAACCTAAGAGAAGGGGAGACAGTAAAAAAGGAAGGAGAAAGTAGGGAGGAGAGAGGAAAGGATATAGAGAGGGGAGGGCAAAAGAAGGAAAATGCTCTTGTGGGTGGGGGCTCCCCCAGGAATGTGCCCCCAGGAAAGGGTCAGGGGCTCAGCGCTGGCTTCCCTGTTCCACACTTCAGGAGGCCAAGGGTCCTATAGACACTTTTTTTTTTCCTTGCTTCCGGAGACGTGTCTGTCATGCAGTGGGCCAAACACCAGGCTGTTAGAGGTCCAGTAAAATATGGTGGGGTACCTCCTCTGGCTTCCTGGTTCTCCAGTATTCCCTGGTGTGGGTTACTGTGTGGCGTATGGCTCCAGAAAGAAGCAGCATTGGAGTTAGGATATTGGAGTTGGAAGGTAAGCAGGAGTCTAGATTGTCATTCTGACTGAGCCTGGTCAGACCACCTTTTGGAAGAAGCCCCTTCAAACTGCTCTCTAACCTGTGGTTGTTTGCTCTCATGCCCAAAAAGCCCAAAACTGGTCACCAGAGAGGGTAACCAGGCCTGCTGCCCCCAGGCTCTGACCCAGTGAGCTCAGCAACATAAGTACAAGTTATCCAGGCCATTCAAAGCTTATTAGTTATTGCCGATCATTCTAGAAACAGCACATCCTTCTGAAGAATGGAATCACTGGGCTATTGACAGGAACAAAAGAGTCCAATGAGGTGGCATATGTGCTAAGGCCTGGCTCTGTGTCCTGCACAGCAGCGCCTTAACGAAGGTCAGGTGTTTAGTCTCTGACGACAGAAAGGCAAGTTAGACAAGAGAGAGGCCAGTGTGTGTCTCAGTCAGGAAGTCTTCACACAAGGACATAGGAGGGGAAATGTGCACTTGCAGCCCAAGGTCTCTTCTGACCCCTTTATGCTTCGAGGATCCCCTTCTGGGCTTTCCTGGAAGGGTTTGGGAGTCTATATTTGTGGCCCACTTTGTGTGTGCAAGCACATGACCCAGCTCCACGAAAGGATCACAGGTTTCAATTCAGGGAGTGCTTCAAAGCACAGGTTCTGGGGTCCCATGACCTGGGTTTGAATTTGGACCCACCATATATAGGCTGTGTGGACTTGAGCACGTCCTTCACTGTCCTGAGACGATTCTTGTACCACACTCAACACAGCACTTGTGTTGGGTCAGCTCAATATATATTGTCATAATCTATTTCTGTTATCTTCCTGAAGAGGTCAGTTACCCAAAACAAGAACCTCTGCTCCACTGAACAGACAATAATGGTGTTTGGGGAGAGAAGAGAAGTCCCAGTAGCCATTTCGACCCGAGATACCACATCTCTCACAATGCAAGCAGAAGTTCAGAGTGGTCTGTGACTGAAGTAAAAAGTTTAAGTTCATTTCATCTGTGTAAGAAAGGCCACTATGGGACCATGGAGCCAGAGCCGCAAACACAGTCGGACAGCTCCTCTTGGGCACACATACCCTTACTGGCCTTCTCCATCCACCAGATCTCCTGGGTCTATGTCCTCTCTGTTCCTCTCCCTCCTGAGTCTCTATCCTAATCTGCAGGGTTTCCATCTGCCCACAGCTAACATGAATGGCTCACCAGGCCAGGGTCAGTTGGTTCTTCACCTTGAGATTTCATTTGCTGCCAGTAACAACCCCAGAGATGTGAGACACATGCACAATGATTTACTCTTGTTTAGCGTGTTACCGTTTGCAATGCGCTTTCTCGGATATTTTCTCATTTCTTTCTAACCCTCAGAGGCAGGCAGTGAAGCAGCACCCAACTGTCCTTTTACAGGGAGGAGACAGGCTTAGTGCTCACACAACCGGTACAGGGCCCGGATTCAAAGCCAGGTCTGGGAGTCCTGTTCTTGTTCTCAAGGGCTTGCTGAGTGCTTTCCATCAGAGACTAAAATGAACTCCTAGCCATGCTTCCACTCAGGAATGGCAATCCAGTGACCAAATGAACAGAGGGTAGAGTTTGCTGGGTGGGAAAATGATGGTCTCTAATTGTGCCCACCAGGGGATGGTGAGTTCCTATTGTGGGTTGTCATCGCTGTCCAGAATGGTGGCTGGTTCTCTTGTAGGTTGGTTAGACTAGCCATGCACTCTGCCTGCAGTTCTGAGCTTCTCTCCAGCTTGTCCTTGGGTCTTTCTCAGGAGCCTGGAGCCTGTTGAAAGTCCAGACATTTAATAACAGCAGGACTAGGGGAAATGTTACAGAAAGGCTTTGGTTTCAGACTTTGAAACCCTGAGTTTGAATCCTATCTATACAATGACTAGCTATAGGTAGGACCTTGTACAAGTAACTTCCTGCCTCAGTTTCATCATCCATATAATGGGAATGAAAACCCCTAAGCAGGTTTGAGGCTTGATTGAGATAACTTATGTAACAATCCAGGCGTGTAAGTATACAATCAACACATGGCAGTCCCAACCCGTCCCCTTCGTAAAGCTAGGCATAGCAAACACTGTCTTGCAGATCATCTCCTGGATGGAGAAAGTATACCAGCTTTGAGGCCAGGAGCCACCAGCTGCCTTTAACACAGTCCCTGGACCCTGTAGCTGATCAGGTTCTTCCACAGCTTTTCTTGTGATCCTGTGACTCAGTGTAACTCTGAGGACTCACAACTGATAACAGGACAACATCCTGATGGTCTCTGCTCTTTCTGGCTTCTCGTAGCTCTCCACAGTAGCTTGGCACTCCATCAGACACCTGGATCCCTAATGGTTCAGACCCACCAAACAGCGATCCTGTCCTGTGAGATGAAAACTTCCCGCACTAATATGCGTATCTACTGGCTGAGACAGCGCCAAGCCCCAAGCCTGAACAGTCACCATGAGTTCCTGGCCCTCTGGGATCCCATGCAACGGACTGTGTATGGCAACAATGTGGTACAGAAGGAGCTAACTGTGTCTCAGAATGGGCCACGGTTCACCCTCAACCTCACAAGGGTGAAGCCTTCCGACAGCGGAACCTACTTCTGCATGGTTGTTGGGAACCCTGAGTTGACCTTCGGGAAAGGAACTCAGCTGCATGTGGGTAAGAATCTGGTTCAATGCTACAGACAAGCACTGAGCACCTACTGTGTGCCAGGGGCACAGGCCAGGCTCTGGGGCTGCCTCACTTGCAGCAAGCGCCCACACCTCCAAAGAGGAGACAGCCTGGAGCAATAGCAATGTACTGAGCTTTACCCAGGCCAAGCATGTACAAATGCTTCACTTGTCACACTTAATGCTGTAGGGACTAGTCTTTTACAGATGAGGCTAAAAGAGATGGGTCAGGGTCAGAGATGGCTATATTGCTTCTTATGGGAACAGGGCAGGGACTGTCCCCAGGCCATGTCAGACCCACTTGAGGCTGGATTGGGCTCTGTCCACAGGCCTGACAGTGTCTCAGAAATCCCACAAAGTGTGCACGCAGGGAAAGAATTCTCTCACTGCTCCTACTATCCAGCAAGAACGTTTCTGAGGGAAGTGGATGGGCAGGCATTGCACTCACATTTTCTCAGCCCACACCCTAAGTTGCAGGGAGTGAGAAGCCCTGGTCCCAGACCAGTTCTGCTGAAAATTCTCTATTATTACTGAGATATTTCACATTCCTGTTTCACACTAAGTTCTTGATGTGTGTTTTACATGTACCAAACCAAACCTACTGCCACTGAGTCGATTCCAACTCATAGTGACCCTTTAGGACGGAGTAGAACTGCCACATAGGGTTTCCAAGGTTATAAATCTTGACAGAAACAGACTGCTTCATCTTTCTCCCATGCAGCAGCTGGTAGGTTCAAAATGCTGACTTTGGTCAGCGTCTGAATGCTTCAACCACTACACCATATTACACCATATTACAGTACATCTCAATTCAGACTGGCCACATTTCAAGGGCTTAGCACATGTGGCAAGAGGCCACCATATTGCACAGGGAAGATTAATTAAGGGAGCAAAAGGAATCACACCCAGAAATTAGACTGCTCAGTATAGGGCACGGCAGAGAGAGAAATTAGAGGCACAATGAGTCAGACAACAAATGGGGTGTTGCCTCTGTCCACCCCCATCCCCAGCCTTGGGCCTTGGGTGGGACTGGGTGGGGGAGTGAGCGCTCTGGCAGAAGCCCAGGTGTTCTTCAAGTTGAGAGCTGACTGATTCCTGTATTGAAATTTGGCTGTTTTGGGGGTGCGTGGGAGGAAGAGGGAGAGGTTTTGGTTTGGCTTATTGCTTGTGTCTCTGCAAACCCCACATCTTCCCACTCATGAGATTTCAGGATCCAAGAAAGTTAGATGGTAAGAGAAGCAAAACTGATTTTCAGGGTCTTCCACCACCTCCACCACCACCTATTCTTGGCTTCGATAGTGCCAAACCCCCTTGCACCGCCCAGCACAGTAAATGCTTGCCACTGTAATCTCTCCATGCATGGGGTATCCAGGGCAACAGCCTCCCTCCTGCTCCCTGCTGGGCAGTGCATTTTAAAGGGGGCAGCTAAGAGAGTAGTGGGAGCTCTGGTAGCATAGTGGCTAAGACACTTGCCTGCTAACCAGACGGCTGGCGGTTCAAACCCACCAGCCACTCCTTGGAAGGAAGGTTGGGCAATCCTACTTCCGTAGTGATACTGCCTCGGAAACCCAAGGAGGGGTCGCTATGAGTCGGGTTTGACTCGACGGCACATAACAACAACAACAAGAGAGTAGTGGAAGTATTTGGGAAGAGTGGGGCCTTTTCTCAGTCCCCTCAAGCACGTCATAGGCACCAAAGGCCTGCTTTTTACTGAGAAGAGAGATTTGAGTGAGGAAGCAAGAGGAATCAGCAGGATCTGCCTCTGGGCAAGAAGAAATTAAAACAACACAATCTTTCCCCAAAGGCCCCACCAGATGCAGGCCACTGTGCCAAGTCAAGGGCCTAAGGTCCTATAGACCGCCTCCCATGTGAGCCTCACCACTGACCCATCGTCTCACCCCTCTGTGCATCCTTGTGTATAAAGCAAGGGGAACAGAACTTCTAGGACTGTGAGGATTAAATGAGATAACAGAATGCAGTGACATCCCTAACACAGGCTCCTTCCAGATTCGGGTACCATAGCAGGTGTTGTTTTTCCTATTATAATCGTTACCCTCAGCACTCTGATGACCAAGGGCCTTGGGTTGGCCTAATGTGTTTAACTTTTTGTCAGAAAACATTTTCACATTAGGCAATGTGGCGTAATGAGAGCACAGGTTCTAGAATCAAACTCTTGGTTCAAATCCTGGCTCTGCTAATTAATGGCCATCTAAGTTTGGGTAGAAGTCCCTGGGTGGTACAAATGGTTAATGTCCTTGGCTGCTAACTGAGAGGTTGGAAGTTCAAGTCCACCCTGAGGAGCCATCCACTAAAAACCTTACAAGGGCACAGTTCTGCTCTGACACACATGGTGTCACCGTGAGTCGGAGTCGGCTCGACGGCAACTGTTGTTTTCAGGGTTTTTTTTTTTTTTTTTTGTGTGTGTGTGTGTGTGTGTTTAACTTTGGGCAAGTTATTTCAGCTGTCTGAGCCTAGGTTTCCTTGTGGATAAAAATGAGAATAGCAGTACCTACCCAAAAGTTATTGGATTCAATAAATTTAGGCTGAAGAGCTTAGCACTGCCATCAGCACGTGGTAGGAACTTAAGTGTTCATTCTAATTAATTGGCTCTTCTTAGAAACTTCATAAAGCAGACAGAGCAGATAATCTTTTCTCCACTTTCCAGAGGAATCTTAGGGAGGTGAAATTCAAGGGGTCTACTTTTCACATGAAAGATGTCAGCCCCCAAATGACAGATTCATTGGCTGCCCCTCTCTCTTCCCTGGCTCTAGAGTTTAAGTTCCTGGCATCACCCTTTTCATTCTCTTACCATTTTGCAGAAGATCATTTCTGTGAAATCTCTTTACTTAATCCACAAAGGCAAAGCCAGACTCAGCAGGGCCTGGTGTTCACACCACTCCTCAGCTGGCACAGTCCTCAGTTCCTCAGAACCCAGTCTCTCCTTTTGCTCTGAGTGCTTCTCCCACTGCCCTTCCCAGCACTTTGGAATGTGACACCGAGTCAGAATGAAGGAGTGCAGTACCGTGCCCAGGAGCCAGGAGAGGGGCTCGGGGTCCCAGCTCAGCACTCTCCATGGTGGGGCCTTGAGGCCAGCCCCTACCTCTCTGGCATTCACCTTTGATATTAAACTTTGAGACTAGACCAAAGGTCTAACTCTAATATTTTATAATTTTTAAGGACACAGGAGAAAAAAAACAAATCCCAAAATATGCATCCTCTATGGGTTGTATATACAGAAAAGGGCACCCATCTCCTTTCTAGGAGCTTCCTCCACTTGCTTAGAGATTGGCAGGATGAGCTGAGGGGCTGGTGGTACCAAGGGCATGGGGACCCCAGCTTCAGCCCAAGGGCTTCAGTCAAGTGCAGCCAGGTCTATTGCAAGCATTTCCAAGTACACCATCCTCTTTAATTCTTACGATCATCCCAAGAAGGTGGGGCATCTTTATTTTAGCATGTAGGGAAACTGAGGCAGAGAGGTTAAGTGACTTGACCCCAGTCACAAAGAAGTGAATCAAGGGTACTGGGGCTTTGCTCATGCCTGCACTTTTTGCAGTGCAGCCCCTCTCCCTCCAGGACATCAAGTTGACCCCCACCCCTATCCCTTCAGATGCATTTGAGAATTGGGAAAGCAGATCAAAAATTCTACTTCTCTATGATCATCAAACCCTGTAGCAGTCTAGGGAACAGTCACACCACAGTCGTAGTGTTCCAGGGACCTCTTCACTACCAGATGCAAGGAATACAGTTGTAAGTGTTATCTGTAAATCTACCCAGGGTTTACCTACTGAGATATGTGTCTTGTTTTCTTTCTGTAGTTGATGTTCTTCCCACCACTGCCCAGCCCACCAAGAAGCCCACCACCAAGAAAAAAGTACGACGGATCACAAACCTACTTACCAGGAAGGGTGAGTTCTCCCGTCTCCCCCCTGGACCCTCAGAAGCAAGGCGGAGTCTTATTCACTTCATTCCTTGCTCATTTCATTCATTCAACAAGCACTTCCCAAGTGTTGATTCTGTGTCCTGTCTCTGGCAGCATGCCGGGGGCAGAAGGGAAACTGCATATGACAGCGGCACGCAGTCTAGTGGGAGACGGGCTCACAAACTGTCACAAGACAAAACTCAATGAAGGATGAATCCACACAAAAACTTGCACATCAATGTTCAGAGTAGTATTAGTCATAATAGCCAAAAAGTAGAAACAACCCAAATGTCCTGATGAATGAATAAACAAAATGTGGTATATCCACATGACAAATATTATTTGTTTATTTGTTGTTCAAATAAAGTTTGAAGTACTGATGCATGCTACAACATGGACGAACCTTGAAAACATTATATGGTGAAAGAAGCCAGTCACAAGAGTCTACTTATTTATGATTCCATTTATATGAAATGCCCAGAATAGGCAAATTTGTAGACATAGAATGTAGATTAAAGAATGCCGAGGGCTCAGAGAAGAAGAGAATGAGGAATGAATCCAAAAGGGTATGGAGTTTCTTTTTAGGAAGGACAAAATGTTCTAAAATTAGATTGTGATTCAAAGGTTGAGCAACCTTTGAATACAGGTAGTCCCCAGCTTATGACAGGGTTCTGTTCCAATGTCTTCATCTTAAGTCGATTCTGAAGTAAGCCAAATGCCCTTTTCCCCCCCACTATTATTACCTTTAGGAGCTCTGGTAGCATAGTGGCTAAAGCACTTGACTGCTAACCAGAAGGCTGGCGGTTCAAACCCTCCAGCCACTCCTCGGAAGGAAGGTTGGGCAATCCTACTTCTGTAGTGATACTGCCTCGGAAACCCAAGGAGGGGTCGCTATGAGTCGGAGCCGACTCGATGGCACATAACAACAACAACAACATTGTTGTTGTTGTTGTTATGTGCCATTGAGTCAACATTATTACCTTTATAAATCTGCAGTATTTATCTGCAAGTGAACATCTGTGAATGATCCAAACCAAAACCCATTGCTGTCTAATTGAATCCAACTCATAGTGGACAGAGTAGAGCTACCCCATAGTGTTTCCAAGGTTGTAATCTTTACAGAAGCAGACTGCCACATCTTTCTTCCATGGATTGGCTGATGGGTTGGAACTGCCCACCTTTCAGTTAGCAGCCAAGCGCTTAATCACTGCGCCACCAAGATTCCCCCTGAGAATAATAACATCAGCAAATTTCTCTATGCAACATATTACTTATGATAAAATGTACAAAAAAAAAAAGGCAGTCATTAAGTGCAGTCATAAGTCAAATACATCGTAAGACAGGTACTATCTGTAATCTAAAAACCAGTGAATTATATACTTTAAGTCAGTGAACTTTATGATATGTAAATTATATCTCAATAAAGCTGATAAAAACTAGGCAAACAAAAAGCCCAGCCCATAGGACCAGCACTTTAAATTTTTCCTGTTTTCGTGTCTAATACAGTATGTGCTTAATATCTGTTTGTTACTGAGTGAACAACTGTGCTTCTCTGTGCTGTAAGCACCAGACACTGCAGCTGAGTACACACACATTCCAACACATACATACACACACTCAAATACACACATACTTGCACACACACTTTCCTTGAACTCATGGGCCCAAATGTGTTCTTGGAAAAATACTAATCTCTACCCCCAAAAGTCACTGGTGACAAACAGAAAGTGTCACCAGCTCCTACCTATAGAACAAACCACACGAAGCCATGACAAGGCTACCTTATGCCACTTGGGCTGCTTCGTCTTAAACACACAGTGGAACTAGAACCTGTGAGAGCTAGAACTCGGCAGGACTACCTTGCTTTTCCACTTCTCACGAGTTTTCCACCTTTGACAGAGTGCAGTCTTACCACTTTTCTGTTGCTCATTTTAGGGGAAAACATTTAAGTTTTCCTTCTCTGACAGATTTCCACCTTACACAGATTCTGCCTTTCACAGGTTTTACTGTGTAATGTACTAGATAGAGTCTGAGAGGCATCTAGCAGGATTTAGACAAGGGAGTGGTAAGCTGCCACAGGCAAAGTCTTTAGGAACAGAAAGGTGGAGACAGAATGACCTTGTTTTATACAGCACTTATACCCTGAAAATTTTCCTTAAAGGAGTTCAGGCAGAACACATTAAAAAAGAACACAAAACATTAAAACAAGGATGCAAAAACTGGGTCTGTGCTGTGGCTCTAGAGGTGCAAGCAAACTTCATGGAAGCAAAAGGTATCCTCCAAGTCCCATGCAACCTCCCACCCCTTGTGATGGCATAAAGGGACAACACCGGGCCTCAGAAGATGAGCCTCCCTCTTAGCACAGAAGCCTAGGAGGAATCTGCTCTGTCCATCCTGGTGTAGGGACTGTTGAACAATAATAAATCCAGCATCATTGTTATAAATTAGGTAAAAGAAGGTCTTCAAATTTCTTATAATCAACCCTCAGTAAAATTCAAGGGTAAAATGCAAATAAATTAAAAGGGCTTTCATTTAGTTATGCCTGGGGTTGCCATGAGTCGGGGCAGCAAAAGTAAAAAGAAAAACCCGACTGTGTGTGAGGGTGGCCAAGTGGAGTGGGATTGGCTGGGGGAGGTAAGTGAAGGTTGTATTTAGAGAAGGAGTTTGGGGCAGTGTAGCCTAACAGTGAGTCAGCCAGATACAGGCCTGCCTCCCTGTCTACTACTGCCTATACTGTGTGACCTTGGGCAAGTCATTCAGCTCTCTGAACCTCCATTTCCCTATCTGTAAAATAATTATGATAATGCCCTTAACAGAGAGATGATGAAAATTAAGTGAGATACATAAGGCACTCAGAGCTTGTTAGGGCACCCAGGCAGAGCTCAGAGCTTGTTATAATTGGACCCACAGGACCGCCATAGGTAGGGGCTTAGGATAACCTCTTGAGATAGCATCAGTAGTTCTGGAGAATGGTTTCTAAACCGCTCTCTCAGGAGCAGGGTGGTGACATCCAGACCCAGGAGACCGTGAGGCTCAAGCAAGGCAAGGAAGACCAGGCTAGGAGTGTCACTGGTGTGACTCTGGCTCCCTGCCTATGCAAGCCTTGCACTCCCTTTCCTGGAAGTAGCAACTTTTCCTGGAGTCACAGTTTGGATGGGTAACCATGCATCTGCATGGACCTATGGTTGTATCACTGGCCTGCAGTTCAAATATGACCCCTCCTCAAGAAGCCATAGCCCCCCCCCATGAGGAGGGGGACTTTCCTGCCCTGCAGTCCCCTGGAGTCTGTGCCCACCTCCATTATCTTTTTTTTTTTTTCCTAGCTTTATTGAAGTATAATTTACATACCATAAAACCTACCCATTTCAAGTAGGCAACAACATAATGTTTAGTAAATTTACCAAGTTATGCAACCATTGCCACAATCTAGCTTTAAACCATTTGCATCCCTCCAGTAAGATCGCTTGTGCCTGTGTCCTGTTCATCTCCATTCCCAGCTTCAACCCCTGGCAACCATGAATCTACTTTCCTCTCTATGGATTTGCCTCTCATGGTCATTTCAAATCAATGGGCTTATTGCAACATGGGGCTTTCGTGGCTGACTTCCTCCACTCAGCACAGTGTTTTTGAGGTTTATCCATATTGTGAGAACATGGAGGAGGTAAGACGCAGGCAGGCAGAAATCTTTAACATCTCAAAGGCAGGAAGGACTTTCAAGGACCTATCGTTCACCATTCCACCCAGTGAGGGAACCTCCTCTCCAGCTTTGGCTTGTTCCCCTCCACAAAGCGCCCCATTCCACTTCCCACCACAGGCTCTCATGTTTCTGTGACATACCTGGCAGGGCTTTAGAACTAGGAAGAACTACAGCCATATCTTGGTCCTATTTTTTAGTAGCTGGGTGACTTTGGGCATGTAGCTTATCCTCTGAACCTAGGTTTTCTCAACCATAAAATACCTTTTCACAAGATGGAAACTTGCAGTTAGTTACCTAGTACATAATAGATATTCAGTAAAAATTTTCTCCCCTCCTTGACATCCAAAACTTTTTCTAATTATTCTAATACTCGTATATACCTTGATCCCAAATCCACATCCTTGTCCTTTTCACCCATGGGTTCTTGTTCTGCCCCTCAGCTACTTCCAGGGACCAATTTCCAGGGCATGAAAGGTGTCATTAGGATTTGCAGCACTGATAATATAAACCTTTTTAAGTGGCATGAAAAGTGGACAAAGGAACAGATAGGAAACCTATGGAAGAAAAATCATACAAGTGATCAATATGTCTATGAAAATATGCTGATGCTCACAACTAATCAAGGAATTGAAATGAAATATAGTTTCCACCCACTGGATTGGCAATAGCTTTTCATAACATCCAGGGTTGGCAATGGGTAGGGAATTGTACCCCCCGCCATGAACTGGTGGCAGGTGGGAATGTGAATTTGTTCAGCCTTTTGGGAAGGCAATTTGACAATATCTATTACAATTTGGAGTCCCTGGGTGGTGCAAACGGTTAATGCCCTCACTGCTACCCTAAGGTTAACAGTTCAAGCTTACCCAGAGTCAGCCCAGAAGAAAGACCTGGTGGTCTACTTCTGGAAAATCAGCCACTGAAATCCTACAGAGCACAGTTCTACTCTGACACACATAGGGTCGCCATAAGTCAAGGTCAACTGCACCAGGCAACTGGTTTGGATTTTTATTACAATTTATGATGTACATAGTCTATGGTTTAGCAATTCCCATTCCCAATATTTGCTTCAGTAAAGCATCTGCATAAGGAGACACTTACTAGGATGTTCTTTGCAGAGCTACTTGTAAAAGCAAAACACCAGGCATAACCTAAATGCCTATCAATGATTAAATAATCCTTGTTGTTGTTGTTGTTGTTATGTGCCGTCGAGTCGGCCCCGACTCATAGCGACCCCTCCTTGGGTTTCCGAGGCAGTATCACTACGGAAGTAGGATTGCCCAACCTTCCTTCCGAGGAGTGGCTGGTGGGTTTGAACCGCCAGCCTTCTGGTTAGCAGGCAAGTGTCTTAGCCACTATGCTACCAGAGCTTAGTATGTCCAAACTATTGAAAGCTTTTCTGCTGGTAAGAAGAATATGCTGATGTGATTAAGCAAGGATTTAAAAAGGAGTTGCAAAACAATTTGTACAGTATATTCCACTTTGTGGTTTAAAAAAAAAAAAAAAAAAAAACAACCTTTATGTGTCTCTGTAACTATATGTATGTGTAAAGGCAAACAGAAAGGTACCAGATTAATAATGTTTCTGTGAAAGAGCTGGGATGTGAAGGGAACTCTAACCATATGCTGGAATATTTTCTAATGAAAATTTAGTTAGCTATTTCTTGTAAAATTAAAATGTTAAAAAATTTTGTTTTTTGAAGTGAAAATCCCATTACCAGCCAGGAAAATTATCCACCTCCTTTGAACATAAATAGCTACTGAGTTTAAGGAATGTCTTTAAATTTACATGTTGTTGTTGTTGTTACGTGCCGTGGAGTCAGACCCAACTCATAGCGACCCCTCCTTGAGTTTCCGAGGCAGTGTCACTACGGAAGTAGATTGCCCAAACTTCCTTCCGAGGAGTGGTTGGTGGGTTTGAACCGCCAGCCTTCTGGTTAGCAGTCAAGTGCCTTAGGCACTACGCTACCAGAGTTCCTAAATTTATATATGGAACATGAAATGTTATATATAGAATTATCTCAATGATGTTTAAAGTGCATAGAAAAAAGACTAGAAGGAAATACAGCAAATGCTAATAGTGGTATTCTCTGGGAAGAGGGGCTTCCAAATGATTTCTTCCTTGTATTCATCTGCATCTGTAGCTAGCTCTCAGATGTTCAGTAATGAGCATGTTTCATGTGTCTTTTCCAGGCCCATCTTGTAGCCCCATCACCCTTGGCCTGCTGGTGGCTGGCATCGTGGTTCTGCTTGTGTCTCTGAGTGTGGCCATCCACCTTCACTGTGAGTCCTATTGGGATGCCATGATGACCCATTTGCTGTTTGAAGTGTCCCTAAGGGTACTTTCTTCTGTGGGGGAACAGAGCTATGACAGCCTAGTGGAAGTTTCCACAGAGAACCAATGAGAGGCACTTGATTCTTGATTGTTGGCTAGGAGACCACCCTGTCTGTGGAGCTGGCTAACCTGGCTTTGATTCAACCCTGCTGCTCCCTTGTGACCCTTGGTGATCTTGGGCAGGCACCCTGACCTCTCTAAGGCCCAGCTGCCTCACCTCAGGATAATAGCATTGTTTCCCTCCTAGAGTTGCTGCCTATAGAGTCTTGCCCAGAGTGCTTGGCATATGATGTGTTCCATAAGTAGGAACTTATTGGGACTGGAAGCTAAGTGCACAAAGAGATTGTGGGTGGGGGTTTGAGTTTTGTCCTCAGAAGCCAGAAATCCTCCCCATAGATGAGGCTGTAGGGAAACACAGAGATGGCTACTGCTCCCTCAGCTACTCCAGAGATTGAATCATCTCTTTCTTTGGGTTTCCCCAGGCTCTGCACAGCACTGGGCTCAGGATAAAGGTGGAGAGCTAGAGAGCTGGCCCACACAGCTGCCTATGAGTTCAGAGGCCCAGATGCTGCCCCTGGTTCTGCCGCTCTCCTCTGCCTCCTTGAACATGTCACATCCTGTCCGGGCTTCTATAAAATGGGAGAAGGGCATTAGGAGTACGGTCTCTATCGATGGTCTTAACTTTTATGGGTCACAGACTCCTTCGAACATTTGATGACAGTTATGGGCCCTGTCCACAGAGAAATACACTTGTGCACACACTTCAGCATACATTTGCCTCCTTCAAAGGGGTCTGTTTATCCCCATTACAGTTCAGGAATCTGAAAACTTTTCTAATCATGGACTTCATCAGAAAAAAAAAAAAGAAAATTATAAATACAAACTGCAATTCAATGTATTTATATATTTAACATATTATATATATTATTAAACGTGCTTCAAAAATAAAAAGTAATAAAGGATGAGATAAACATGTACATATACATATTATGTTTTCATCCTGTATCCCAGTGGGAAATTTTGCACATCTGAGTACACAGGCTCTCGTTAAGCACACACATCAGGAAGGGCAGGATTGAATGTTCAGGGGCATAGAGTCAGGAGTAGATTAACTAGGCTTGAATTCTGGCTTTAGCACTCACTAGTTATATGACTTTAGGCAAGTTACTCACTTACTTTGTGCCTCAGTTTCCTCTTACACAAAATGGACAAAATACTAGTAGAACCCAACTCATAGACTTGCTATGAGTGAGCATTGTTGTTGTTGTTGTTATGTGCCGTCGAGTCGGCCCCGACTCATAGCGACCCCTCCTTGGGTTTTCGAGGCAGTATCACTACGGAAGTAGGATTGCCCAACCTTCCTTCCGAGGAGTGGCTGGTGGGTTTGAACCGCCAGCCGTCTGGTTAGCAGGCAAGTGACTTAGCCATTATGCTACCAGAGCTCCTGAGTGAGCATTAAGGGGGTTATAATGTGAGAAGTAAGGAGCTCTGGTGGTGTAGTGCCCAAGGCACTTGACTGCTAACCAGAAGGTTGGCGGTTCAAACCCACCAGCCACTCCTCGGAAGGAAGGTTGGGCAATCTGCTTCTGTAGTGATACACCCTCAAAAACCCAAGAAAGGATTGCTACGAGTTGGAGACTACTCCACAGCACATAACAACAACAACACAATATGAGAGGTATTCAGGCCAGGGCCAGGGACGTGGGAAGTGCCTGAGGTGTTAACTGTCCCTATCAACACCTCCTCAGTCTCTGGGGCTTGGCACTGGTGGCCACAGCCCACCCTGACTGGAGCTCTTGCTTTCCTCTTTCAGGCCTATGGAGGAGAGCCCGGCTTCGCTTCGTGAAACAGTAAGTTCTTGTGGCCTCAGAAAAGGAGCTGAATGTACCTTGGGTGTGGTCTTGGGCTCCTCACCTCCCACTGCTGCTCTCAGCCTCTAACTGCATCCAGGAGTCAAAGTTTAGGCATCACCTTCCAAAAATCATAGTCTGCATAAAGAAATGGGCGAGAGAGTCCAGGTACAGAGATAACTTAAACAAAAATCCTGATTCATCATCTAAGTATGTTTCCAGTGGTCAGACTCAGCTCTCCAGGGGCTAGCAATCAACCCTTGCTTGCATAGAGTGTTGGAAAGCATTCCAATTTCTATCCCACCCATTATTTCACTTGACTTGGTCCTGATTGAACCCAAAGGTTTATTTCCCCCATTTTACAGATCAGTGGAGAGATTTGCTTAAAACCTCCAAGGTAATAAAGAGCAGAATCGGATTTAAAGACAAGCGGGTTCACTGCACCACCAGTGCTGTCACCCAGCAGGTGCTACCTTTCTCAGAAGCAGCAGGTGTTGGGTGTTGGGCTGCCTTGGTCCCATTGTCCATCCTTGACCCCACCTGGGTGCCAGGAGCTGGCAAACCCACAGGTTGAGTCACAGAGACAGGACTGAAAAATCATCCCTTAGGCCCCTGAGGTGGGTAAGCAGATACAGAAGCAAGAGATTATTGAAGGCCAGAGGCGGCCATCTTCTCCACCCTCAAGGCCTTCCAAACCTGCACTGGGCCCCCAGCATTGTCCTGGCCTTGTTTTTCTTCCTCACAATAAAGACTGTTTCACCTCTACCTACTTCATTGCTTACGTTTGCTGCTCAGAACAGCCCCCAGCTATATGGAAGTGTTTTGGGGGGAAAAAAAATGAAGAAGGCAACAGGGCCTGGCACTAACCAGCTTTGGCTCCGGTGTGAGGCACCTCTGGGCTCGAGTCCTGTCTGCTACTCACCAGCCCTGTGACTGTCGTGAGTCACTTCAATTCTCTGAGCCTCTGGTGCCTCTGTAAAACGGACTAACAGTACCAATCTTGTAGCTAGTGTGACTACTGAGGTAATGCCCATGAACTACTTGGCACCTGGTCCCCAGCAGTCGAAGCCCAAGCTCATTTAACTTATGATGTAAGTTCAACTCTAAACCAACGACCATGAAGATAGCCCAGAACCAGACAACATTTTGTTGTTATACAGAAGGTTGATAGGAGTTGGAGCTGACTTACCGGGCCCCTAAAAGCAACTACAATAAGTTCAATTCTATGAGCACACCAACCAAGAAGCATAGTATACTTTAAAATACTTTAAAATTATAATTTTCATCTATATGCTATTATATATTTTATATTATGATACCTGTGTATTTGTATATCATAGTTCACAGGTTATAGTTATTAAAAACACGTATGCTGTACTCTATGAGCAATTTTCAATCATAATTTTGACTGTGTGATTTTCAGCTTTTGTGCTGGATTTAGAAACTATCCCCTACCTAGGAAACAATAACTTTATTTGTCTAAGTCTGTTATGTTCAGTATCTTCCCCATGATGATCTTTTCTGGAGAATGATTACCCATCAAGGTACTCCTGCCTGGGATTCTGGTGCACACTACACCCCTCTTTTTTTAACTTATTCCCCGATAACCTGGTACCAATTTTGAATACAGGACCTCATGCTTTGGAAAGCTCAGGGGTTCTGAGGACCAACCAAGGTGGGGAAGGAGCTGGAGGTAGTTTGGGTGGGCCCCTCACCCCTCACCCCTCACCCCTCACCCCTCACCCTCATCCTTCACCTGTTGTCTGTGTTTACACTTCCCTGTAAGATGTCATTTAAACAAAAGAGTCTGTGGCTAAAAAAAAAAAAAAAAAGGAAAACCATCTCTGGTTTTGCAATCATGATCCAGGTGCAGGCATAATAGTCTGTCAGCCTCACAAAGCAGCTGTTGCAAATTCAAGTTGTGAGTTGGTGCAGATGTTCCCCAGCTTCTAACTGTCCTGTGGAAATTATCCCATCTGCAGGCCACCTCCTTCTGGCCTACCGTGTTCATTTGTGAATAGCTTCTCTTAGAAGGTCCCAAAGGAGGTAACACTGTTCAAAGCTAAAGTTTTTTGGACTGCTTTCCTTGAGCTTTTTATTTTTCTAAATGACAATGATAGGACCTAAAAAAGTACTGGAATCTCTGGATAGTGCAAATGGTTAAAGTGCTTAGCTGCTAACTCAAAGGTTTGAGTCTACTCAGAGGTGCTTTGAAAGAAAGGCCTGGTGATCTACTTCTGAAAAATCAGACATTGGAAACTCTATGGAGCACAGTTCTACTCATGGCGTTGCCATGAGTCAGAATCAACATGAGGGCAACTGTTCTTTCTTTCTTTCTTTTTTGAAAAAAGCACACTAACACAAAACTTGATCCAAGGCTATTTGGAGTAGAAGCCTGGATCTTTGTTAGCCATTTGACTCTGTTATAGGAAATTCAGTATTATTTGCCTAAAGCTAAGTGATTTCCTCAGAAGGAAGATGGGGCGATCTACTTCCGTAGTGATACTGCCTCGGAAACCCAAGGAGGGGTCGCTATGAGTCGGGTCTAACTAGACAGCAAATAACAACAAGTGATTTCACAACTTGCTGTTTTTCAGATTTTACAAATGAACAGAGAATGTGTTTTTGGTGTCCGTCATTGGTCAGTAATGAGCAAGATCTAGAAAAAACACGAGACGGAAGGGACACACTCAACCATGGAGATTTCACTGACCTGCAGAAGCTGCCTGCTTTTAACTACTACAGGTTATTTCTGTGGCCCTCATGCCTGGGAGACACTTGTGAGCTGGTGGTTGGGGAATCTTAGAGAGAAAGCTTCAGAGCCCCAAGGCACTCTCTGCGACTCACTCACGGGCTATGCTGGAAGATTGAGTGCCGAATGCTGCCTTGACACTACTGGTTCCTGTACTTGCCCTGAACTGGGCCGGGACTTTGGTGTTGGCTGTCCAGCCTTCGTCTTTGCAATTCGCTTTGCCCTGATAGGGCAGACAGTAGACCCTGGATCTCTCATGAGACGGGCCTGGGATGGCTCCGCCTTGGTTTTTCCAGGCTAGAAATGACCATCTCATAGAGAGAGCCCCAGAGATCAGACCCAGTTTGGGAAGGAAGCTTTGTGACAGGGGCTGACCTGGCTCCCAGGCAGTTTCAGTAGGGATGTTACTTTACCTCCCGTGAGGAAGATTCTCAGCTTTCCCTTCTGCTCTCCCATGGCTTGTACATTTCTTTTTCTCACTTTCTATTCCCTTAAAGAAAATGTGTTGGATGTAAAAATAAAGTCCTGAGTAAAAGATACAAATGGCTCCTGTGGGATAAAAGCACAAATGCCTGTATACAGCAAAGCTGTTGATGTTCAGCTCAAAAAGATAATGAGGATAACATTCGCATGTCCCCATTTTTCATCTAAGATCTTCCTTTGCCTCCACAACACTCTGCAGCCCACGTTGTAAGTGCAGAGAAGACCTAGTGAGGTTGGGAAGCCCCCAGAGCCATGCAGCAGTGCCCCAAGAGCTGACCTGGGCAGAAAAGGAGACCTCCCTCTGGCCCACTCCCAAACTGTCTTCACTAGCACCCATCCATTTCTGTTGAGGGTTGAACCTCTGGGACCCCTGTGCTCAAGGCACCCTTGCATCAAAAAGAAGGTGAGAGGCATCAGTCTCTCAATGCCACCAAACCAATTCCGACTCATAGCAACTCCCTTTGGGTTTCTGAGGTGGTAAATCTTTACGGAAGTAGATTGCCCAATCTTCCTGCCATGGAGTGGCTGTTAAGTTTGAATCACCAACCTTCTGGTTAACAGTCAAATGTCTTAGGCACTGCACCACCAGACCTTCTTCTCAATGCCACACTAATGTTTTATCTCTCAGCTTTGACTGCTGGAGAAAGAAAATACAAGGACAAAATGTTGAGCTGGAATGGAGAGTGGAGATGGAGACTTTGGGGCTTTTGACAAAGTTGCCTGGGTGGGTCTTAGCACAGCCCCTCATTCTCACTCATAGAAGCCATTGAGCCAAAAAGAATGCAACTTTAGGCTGCATCGATAGATGCATGTCTATTCTCAAAGGAGAATAGATCCCATTGGCTTTCCTGGCCAGGTCAGGACTGAGAGGTGCAGTTTACGAAGGTCATTTGTAAACCAAGTTAGGTTCAGCGGCAGACACAGAAGGTGAAAAAACTGTTACAGAAAACAGGAAAGGAAAGATGACTTGAAGAGAGGGGGAGTGTGGCCATCTTCCGGCATCTGAGATGTTATCTTGGGGAGTCAGAGGGCATAGCAGAGCTAGGTGGGTGGTTGAGCATTAAGGTGGGCTCCTTGCTCTGGAACATCCTAGATAAGAGATTAGACACAAAGACCCCTAAGTGTGGCCTACCCTCCCTGAAGGCTCACACCCAGTCAGTCATCAGTAGAAGGAAGCTCCACATCCCAGGACAGATATTTAACTCCGTCTCCCTGCTGCCATCCTGACATTGCATTGAGTTGTTTGCAAGTTCTCCTGGGGCTGAGTTGGGGGCAGGGGTGATTTCTGCTCCTTGCCTGTTCTCTGTGCAACAGGCACCTGCGGAGGCAGTCTGGCCCCAGGGAGCCCAGAGCAGGCTGGGCTGCCAGCAACAGGGCCTGTGGTGAGGAGGTCTGTGTGCACCCAGCACCTGACTTTTGTTTTGAGGAAGGAACTGAGCAGTTACTTCTTTCTGGGGGGCCATCATGGCAAAACATCAAAAAACATTTAACCTAGTTACCCTTTGACTAACAATTCTACTTCTCAGTAATTTATCCTAATGTGTAACTGACATGCACAAAGGGATAGGCATCGAATTGTTCCTTGTAGTGTTTCCTATTAGCCAAAAACTGGAAGCAATCCAAATGTTTATCAAAAGGGAATAGTTAGATAAATCGTGATACAGTTTTATAATGGAGGTCACATTGCTATTAAAGAATGGGCTAGATTCATACACACTGACATCTAATAATAGCCATCACATACAAACAGCATCTTTATTGATTATTCT